CGGCTCTGGGCACTTTGCGTGGCCCTTTCCACCGAATCTGTGTCACGAGTGGACACCTGGATCTGCTGAGCAGGCACCTACCTGGTCCTGGCCTTGCCCTTATAGGCTCTGCTGCCCTGCTCCTTGTTGCCTCCATGGGGTTGAGCAGAAGCTGGGAAATCTGCAGCCTTCCCGGGGAATCCAGCTGCTCCCGGGATGCAGGGAAAGCTCCTCTTGCTTTCCCGAGTTAGGGGAATGTTTCACTGCTGCCTCTCAGTGTCAGCGCTCGAKTCCTGAATTGACACCACACTTTACCTGTGAATTTGCACCGAGATGGGTACATATTTTAATAAAACCCCAAAATACGCACGCACCCGGGGCACCTACCCCYCCATAAACACATCCACAGCATGTGCTCTTTACACAGCCCAGGAAGTGCAGGAATCCATCCCTTTCCATGCATTCCAAGATGGTATCTTACAACACCCCCAGCAAGCGGAGCGGAGCGGCACGGGCTGTTTGTACMCAGCCCTAACGAGCCAAAGGGGCTGCCGTGCAGCGCGCTCATCAACGCAACGCCGCCCAAATTAAAGGCTGTGCAGTTGCCATAAACATTTATGGCATATCAGCAGCTGCTGATTGGGAGGCAAGGGAAACGCGCCGCCGAAATAATGGGATTTATCGGAGGCTGTTGTGAGGCGCCCTGATGGATGCGGAGCATCGTGTCACCTCCAGCAAAGGGCCRCRCTTAAAATAATAATAATAAAAAAGGAGATTTGTTGGCTGTGTTAACTGTGATTTCTTACAGTTTTGGAGTTCATGGAAAGCTTCGGGAGCCGGCCACTGCTGACCGGGAAGGCAGCTAGGAGATGCTGCCCTGGAATATCCTGGAGGGCTGAGGATAAAAAGAAAAAGTCATGATCTCTAAATGCAGAGTGCGTAATTTGCTGGGAAGTTGACACCATTTCTGGTTTGGCTTGATGGGTTTTTCATTTGTTTGATCTGCCTTGCGTTTTTATCTCCCTTCTTCAGCCCCCAAAAAGCAAATATTGGAATTTCTGGAGCTGCTCTTCCCATCCCTCCTTATTCTCTTGCTGCTGCAAGACGCCGAGGGCCCGCGATGGGGCTGAGGCTGCTGTCCGTGCAGCCCGGGACCCATCCGAGGGCCACGGACCGGGATGGGGCAGGAGACAAAGGCGCCGGCGCCGGCTCAGCCCGGCTCTAATCCAATTGCCTTTTGTGAGGCCCAGCCGCGTGGAACGCTGTGCCGCTAATGAACCCACCAGCTGGGAGCACACCGAGGAAGGCAGTGGCAGCGAGGAGCACCTGATGGATTTTTTTTTTTTCCCCCTTAAATTGATCTGGATGGATTTTTCTAAAAGGGAAACTCAGGTGAAATCTCTGTCTCCCTGTGTGATCCCCAAAAAAATAGCGTTTCATGCAAAACTCTCCAGCTTGCAAGTCACCTGTGTTTTTCTTATAATGTACACAAAGTACTTAATATTCCAAACAGGAATGGAAAGAAAAAACCAAAACATTTCACTTAATCAGGTTTACAAAGTGAGCATTGGCGGCACYTAACACCGGGCCCAAGCCATGTGGGGAAGCGTGTTGCACCTCCCTTGCTCCCAAGGCTCCCTCGGGACCTCCTTGGCACAGCTGGATGCAGCAGGGGGGATGTCCTGGTTAGGGGGGACCAGTATCACAGCTCAGGGGCTGCCCRGGCTCTGTGGTCCAGCACTAACCCCAAAGCCAAATGAGCTGCAGTGCAGGGAGCAGCATCCTCCCTGCAAAACTCCAGCAGGATCCATCTGTGACATCCCAAAACCCGGGAATCCGATCCCACAACACTCGCTTTCCTGCTCCCTCGACTAGTGGCATCTCTGATGCAACCAAGCTCCCCGGGAGCCTCTGCTGCATCTCATTTATCTTGTTTAAAGGGACTGCAGAAGGGACTTGCTTTTGTTTCCACCAACACAAAGCTGAAAGAGCCCAGGCTACATTAGTGTGCGATGTGGGCGGTTGGAGAAAAATGGGTTTCCTGCTGCTTTGTATGTCCTAAAGCCTATTAGCTGGTATTCTGTCTCGGCCGCCTCTTGTTTCATCTGCCACGTTAGGTTCGCACGGGCTTGATAAGATATTAGGGGCAGCAGCTCTCCTGTGCCAACCTGCTCCCTGCCACGATTCCCTCTCCGAAAATCCAGGAGTGGGGCRATTAGCCGCTGTGGAAAGCGGCCTTTCCCGCAAAAAGGGGCAGGATTCGAAGGTGCTGCAGCCCCATCTCTCAAAGAGACCCTATGATGTCCCCACAGACTGCTACAGCGCACCCAGGAACACACCTGCTCTCTCAGAGATGAGGTTGGAGGCACCCAAGGGACCAGTTCCTCCTGGAGACACCTTGGTGTTGTCCCAAACGAGGCTGGTAACCTCTTCCTTTGCACAGGTTTTTGGAGAAGCAGCCCAGGACACGTCTCCATGGCTGGCTGGCTTGGGATGAGGTCCCACAGACTTACTGGTTTCCACCCGCTGAAGCCTGCAGGGCTGCTGGCCACACCAGTGCAGATCCTCCCGTGCTGCAGTGTCCCATTGCTGAGAACCTGAAGTGGAAACRGGACTTTCCCACAGGGCTACTCCTCCAAGCAAGCCTTAGCTCCGAGAGCTGAAGGTCCCCTCTGAAGGTCTCGGTGCCCTCCTCAAAACAATTAACAGCACTGTGAGATACTTGGACAAGCATCCGTCAAGTGACAGGAGCCATTTCAATCCCACAGATCATGTGGGAGCTGTCTGGAAGCGTGGGCTCTGTACCAGCACGCTGGGCCTCTGCCAGAGGTTGGGAAGGTCTCTGGAGAGCAGAGCTCCAGGCGAGGACAGCTTGGCCTGCACCATGTCCTAGGAGGACAAGCTACCTGGCAGAGCCAGACAGAGGAGGGTGATGCACAGGAGCTAGGTGGGATAAGGATGTCCTCTGGCCTCTTTCCTTTGCTCCTGGCAGGCAAGAAGGGTCTCGGCTCACTCAATGATGGTGTTTCTGGCCTCACTTCGTGGTGACGGACACCCTTRCCACGGCTGGCAAAGCTTCAGCTTGTCCAGCCAAGCCAGCTAGACCGCCACGCACAAGGAATCAGTGCCCAGTGTCCCCACGTGCCAGCAGCCCCTCAGTCACCTTGGCAGCTCGTGAGGGCACCAAACACCCTTTGCTCTCMCCCGGCACATGGAGAGGCCAAAGGGAGCTCGTAGGAGCTGAGAGAGCTCGGCCACTGGCTCCTGCTGAGGTACCATGAGAAGGACAAGGTCCTGCAGCCCCACAGACGTGGGCACTTTCTGGCACGTGCTGCAGAGACGCTTCCAGGCATGGGTAGGAGACAAAGCATCTCCTCCGCCAGCCTGCAAAGAGCCTGCCAAAATTATCCAGTCTTTTCCAGGAACAGCATTTATGGGAGAGGGAAGCATGTGCGGATGGTGACAGGCATGTGCGGATGGTGACAGGATGTCACCTCAAACAGCCAACACAAGCAGCACAGCAGGCTCTGGCCAGGGAGTGACGTGCTTGTGGTGACAACCTGGATGCCTGTTCTCCACTCACCTCTGGCCAGCTCGGTCTCCAGCCATCAGGAAGAGCCTGAGCTACCTGGGATCCTTTCTGCTGGAYGTGCAGAAGCAGAGAGGTAGTGGGAAGAGACACTGCTCCTGGATAAATAGCTGCAAGGAAGCTGCACAAAGGCACTTAGCAGATAACACAACAGGCCAGTTTTGCCCATGTCCCCAAACCTTCCAGCAGACCAATTTACCTCTCTCAAGCCTCAGGGCTCACTCTATCAGCATTCGTTTTTCCTGTGGAACGGATCCTGCCTCTCCGCTGGCCTTTCAAGGGCTCTGTTCCCATCAACACTGACATTTCTGAACTTCRGTCGTCCTTCTCGTCCAGGAACAGGTCTCGTCTCTGCATCTTCTTCCTAGAGAGCTGTCCGTGAGCGTGTCCCAGCCTGCTCCCAACTCTTCTCGGTCACACAAGGATGCCAGAAGGAAACCTAAGAAACACAAATGCGAACGCTCCTAGGAATGCAATAAAAGGGACCATTTGAGTGTGGCTTCGCATTTCAGGGGTTGCTTAGAAGCCACTTTCAAACACTTGAATTCTCCTGGTGGAATTTGCAAGTCTGACAACCTGCACTGAAGAAAAAAAAAAAAAAAAGGGAAAAAAGAAGGGGAAAAAGACCAGCCCCTGAAAAAAAAAAGTTCTCAGGTAATCTACAAAGCCCAGGGGTTGGCAGGTTGGTGCAGGCTACGACAGAAAGGAGAGCAGCTCTGGGAACACAGAGGTGAGCCCAGGTCCCTGTCATTAACCCCTGCTGCACACGCGGCTCGGGCTGCATCCACGGACACCCTCTCCTTGCCCAGGGCTTACCTCCCTAGCAGCTTTCGGGCAGGATTTGCCAAGGTTTTGCTCCAGGAAGGGCTGCAGCGTGTTGCTGTTTGCATTGACACATTTGCCCCATTATTCATGGCTGGTGTGCGTTTTGTTTCCACTCGGTTCCCAGCGTACTTTCGAGATGGGTTTTCATGCTTTCAAGGAAAACAGCATTGAAACGGTGCCAGAGCTATAGCCCTTTGCCAAGAGCCAACTGTGCATGCCCTGGCTTTGGTTTYTGCTGGCTCTGTGCCCAGGAGGTGTCTGCAACCCTGTTGTCTGTGTCCCCTCTCCTTCCCCCTCTTTTCTTTTTTCCTCCTTCCCACTAACTTTTCGAACCCATTGGCCAATTTTTCAATTGGATTTGGTAGAAGAGCAGGAGTCCCAAAGACATTTAAGTGCTATAAGAGCAAGTGCCAAGTCTTTTTCTTCCATCTTCTCACAGCTCCAGCTGAAGGGAAAAGCTGCAGCTTGTGAGCTCACCTCTAATTAGACATCAGATGACCCAATTGGGAGAGAACAATACCTTGAAAATCCATTAAGGGACACCAAAAAAAAATATATATATATATATATATATATATATATATAAAAGCTTCCAGCAGCACCTTTCATCATCCCCATGACTCTCGGTTGCGGCTGGTCGCAGTGCTCAGGGAAGAGGCAGGTTCTTCAGAGGCAGGTGAGGTTCTCACGTGGTATCCATCACACTCGGTGCTGCAGGTGTGGGAGCAAACACAGCGGGGTCATTGAAAGGCAAAGCAGGGACCTCTGCCCTCCCTTCCCTCCTGAGCTGGGTCCTTGCTYGGCCTTGGGCTTGATGCTCTGTTTAATCTAAGTGGAATTTAGAGGGAATAAACTCACCTCCCAGCCCACAGGGGTGGCTGCTGGGGAAGCCTCTCCTGGAGGACACTGAGGTAGGAGACATTGGAAAGGGCACCACCTGCTCCACAGCAGCCCTGGGAAGCCTTTCACCCCCAAACACATTGGGAATTTGTCTCCTCCAACAACACTGGGGTTTGGAGGACAGGAAACACCTTCTGTGAAGGCAACAAAACTGCCACAACCAACCCCAGGACCAAACCTGGGGACAGCAGCTTCTCCGGTGCTCCATGGGGACCCAACCTGGGGAGAATGTGGCCGCTCCGGCCGTGCCTGGCACCGGAGCGGGCAGCTGCCTACACCCGGAGCCCGGCTTTGGGAGCACCCGCTAATAGGAATTCCTCAGCGGTGTCCCTGGGAGCTGCAATATTGCATCTCAAGGCACTCTTTTGTCTGCTCCGTGCAGGCAAGAAGGGTTTAACTCTTCCCAGGCTGGCCGGGGCTCTCTCCAGGGGAAAAGCGGCTGCTCCAGGCCCGGCATGGGATCCACGGAGCTTCTGCCCGCTCCGGGGCCGGCTCAGCAGCCCTCCAGCCTCCCCTGCTCCAAGAGGTGCCCCGGGAACCTTGGAGCCACCAGGCACGTGACATGGGATGAAGGGTTTTGTTTGCGCCGGTGGGAGCAGCCATAGGCAGGAGAGGGGCGAGGAGGGAAGTTACAGAGAGAGAAACAGAGACAAAAGGCTTTTTTTCCTCCTTTTTTTTTTTTTTTTTTTTTCTTTTTCTTTCTCTCTCTCTCTCTCTCTCTTTTTTTTTTTTTTTTTTTTTTTTTTTTTGTTCTTTTTTT